GCAGCATCTACAGGAGCTGATCGCAGCAACCACCTGCATGCCTGAACAAACAAATAAATAAATAAATAAATAAATATAAATTATTAGCGAGTTATAAGATTAAACAATTAATTATATATTATAAATAAATAAAATATATAAATAAAATATATAAATGCAGGTGAGGAGACACCCGAAAAGAGACAGTAAAAGAGACAGACAAAGACAAAAGGAGACAGACAAAGACAAAAGGAGACAGACAAAGACAAAGAAAGAAACAGAAGAAAGCAGCAAAAGACAAAAGGAGACAGTCAAAGACAAGAGGAGACAGAAAAAGAGACAGTTGGAGACAAAAGAAAACAAAAGAAGACAAAGACAAAAAGAGACAGACAAAGACAAAAGGAGACAGACAAAGACAAACGCAAAACAGAAGACAGCACGAGAGAGAGAGAGAGAGAGAAAGAGACGAAAACAAACAGAAAGAGACAAATAAAGCGACAGAAGGAGACAGTAAGACAGACAGACAGGAAGAGAGACAGACAGAGACAGAAGGAGACAGACAGACAGACAGACAGAGACAGTAAGAGAGACAGTAAGAGAGACAGACAGAGACAGACAGAGACAAAGGGAGACAGCAGGAGACAGACAGAGACAGCAGGAGACAGACAGAGACAGTAAGAGAGACAGTAAGAGAGGCAGTAAGAGACAGACAGAGACAGACAGAGACAGCAGGAGACAGACAGAGACAGCAGGAGACAAATAGAGACAGTAAGAGAGACAGACAGAGACAGAAAGAGACAGGAGGAGACAGCAGAAGAGCAGCAGCTGCTTACCGCATTCCAGCACTGTCTTATTCTTGATATTGGTCGCCCCACAATATCAACAGAGAGAAGCATTTTAAGCCACTGCTGCTGCAGCTGCTGCTGATAGTGCTGCAGCAGCAGCAGCGCGAGATCCTGCAGCAGCAAGAGCTTATCTTGCAGCAAGAAAGGGGTAAAGGAGAAAGCAGCATCATCAACAGATAAAACCCTAAACAAACGATAAACAGAGACATGTGCAGCAGCAGCTTCTACTCGAAGGAGCTCTATATACACCTCAACTGGGCTGTCTCCTTCTTCTCGTGCAGCAGGAAGAGATAGAGACAGTTGTCTCCTCAGCAGCAACTCTGCTGCTTCAGCTTCTCCTGCTGCTGCTGCTGCTGCTGTTCCTGCAGCTCCTGTTCCTGCAGCTCCTGTTCCTGCTGCTGCTGCTGCTCCTGCAGCTCCTGCTGCTGCTGCTGCTGCTGCTGCATCTACGTCGCTGCAGCAGCTCCCCCTATCAGAAAAAGAAGCAAGTGCTGATGGTAGCAGCAAAGATAAAACAGAGAAGTCAATAGTAGCTATGAAAGGACAAACAAACAGAGCAGCATGCTGCACTCGCAGCACACGAAGAGGAAAGCATAAATCCTTCAAACCCCGAGGCATCCTGCTGCTGCTGCTGCTGCTGCTGCTGCTGCTGTGGTGGTGGTGGTGGTGGTGGCGGTTATCGTTGTTGTCGTTGTATGCGGCACACGTCTCGCAAAGGTAGAACCTGTTGCTGCTCCTGCTGCTGCTGCTGCTCCTGCTGCTGCTGCTGCTGCTGCTGCTGGGTGCGATATCCAGGAGGAAGTAAACTGCTGCTGAATAGACAGCAGCAGAGTCCGCAGCAAGCAAAGATGAGCGCCCTACTTCATAGGGGAGTGACAGGGGTGCTGTTGCTGCTGCTGCTGCTGCAGCAGCAGCAGCAGGGCCTCTTCTTCCCCCCGCTGCTGCCCCAGCAGCAGCAGCAGCTGCTGCTGCTGCTGCTGCAGCAGCAGCAGCAGAAGACTTAAACAAACGGTATGCCTTACCACCATCACAATCATAAGCAAAGCACTCGCATTTATCTATCATAAATATAAAACGTCGTGAAGGAGACAGCAGCAGCCTGAAGGGTCGCAGCAGCGTAGCAGGGCCCCCAAAGACAGCGGCAGCAGCAGCAGCAGCAGAAGTTGGTGATGAACCCCCGTTGCTGCTGCTGCTATCTGCTGCTGCTGCTGCTGAGGAGAAAGGCCACCAAGAGCGGGAAGCAGCAGGAGGAGACAACTGAACGTTTTGCTGCTGCGGTAGGAGGAGACAGCCCTCTGCAGCAGAGTGCAACAGACGCAGCAGCAAACCCATCAACACTCTCAGCAACGTAGTCTTCATACTTTATTGCTGCTGCAGTTGCTGCTGCTGTTGCTACTTTTGCTGCTGCTGCTGCGAGTTTGCTGCAAGCTCCTAGGCGTGTGCTGTTGTGCTGCCTGCTTCCTCTGTCACTGTCTCGCTGCCGTTGCTGCTGCTGCTGCTGTTGCTGCTGCTTCTGCTGCTGCAGTTTGTCTCCTTTTTGCTTCTGTCTCCTTTCTCGTGTTTGTCTCCCTCTGTCTCTCTCTGTCTCTCTATACATATATATACAACTATATATATATAACTATTTATATACATATAACTATATATATATATATATAACTATATATATAATTATA